AACTTTTCCACATAATTATGTCCAGCTTCAGACGAGCCCAAATCGAATCCTCCCTCATAATTCCCAGTAGTCTGGATGCGAATGTCTCGAGGAGTTCTTCACTAAACACTCCTTCACGCTTGAGATTGATTGATGTGTAGTGAGGTGAGGATTCTTCGATGCTCAAGCTGCCTTCTATCCGGATGACTGTAACATTGTGACCTTTGGCATGAAGTGCTTCAACCAAGGTGTTCATGCTGACCCAGTGACTGCCACCCACAGGAGAGACAAGAACCTTCCCGCTCTGGACAAGAACAGTCGTCAGAAGGAGGGTTAGCATGATTGGCCCAAGCACCTGAGAAACCTGTCCATTTGTAATACCTGTATCGCAAAGGAGGGAAAACGAAATGTAAATAATTATGGTTATCCAGCTGGAGTGCCGTTGAGAGCCACTAGAGGGCACTCCACATCAGGCTATTGTCATTCCCTCACAAACTACATCTCCCATAACTCACTGGCTGGACTCTTCATCCATTATCACATTCCCCTGTGTCGCATTATTTTGTTTAGCTCACCCCATATAAGCCTGGATTTGATAAGTCAATTCCGAGCATTCATTCATGTCTCCTGGTTCTTGGATTTCTTGCCTGTTACATGGATTTTCTCTGCCTTGTTTTTGTTATTTTTTGGATAGTGCTGATGACCTTTGCCTATTTTCGACTACGATTGTGGATTACCCTTTCAATAAATACACTTTCAGAAAAAGAGGGTACAAAAGCTGTCACTGGGGCTGTACCTTTTGAAAAGGAACACTTTTCACTTTTTGTACCCAAAGGCTGCATATCGGTACCTTAATGGTACATATTAGCACCTAAAATGTACATATTAGCACCTGAAATGTACATATTAACACCTAAAATGTACACATTAGTACTTAAATTTTACATATTACCACTTAAAATGTACATAGCACCTAAAATGTACACATTAACACCTAAAATGTACTTATTAGCACCTCTAAAATGTACATATTAGCATCTGAAATGTACATATTAACACCTAAAATGTACATATTAGTGCCTAAAATGGACAAACGTTTCCCTTTTGAAAAGGTACAGCCCCAGTGACAGCTTTTGTACCTTTTTTTCTGAGAGTGTCACATTTGGATCCTCAACCTTTGTCTCGGAGCAGTACATGACAGATACAGTATATAATTTTTTTTCTTACTTAAAAAAAGAGACAAAACCCATTGAAATTGAATCTGTATAGAGGAAATACTGTATGTATTGAGGCACATTTCAGTGTATAAAACTATTAAATTAATTGCATAAACTTAAAAAAAGCATTATTGGCAGCTCTAATTTATACAGAACCTATATGTATTTCAATCGTAAACATCAAATGTTACACAGCAATATAAACTTGAATCACAATAAGAGACTGGAACTTTTCAAGTGAAAAAAAAAAATTTCTCACCCATCATTATGTCGGCTATAATGTAAATCTGATCGTGGAAATCATAAAACTGCAAAGCCTTTGTCCTTGCTATGCATGTCAACATCTATAAATAAGTGAAGGTTCATATAACAAGCTTTAAAAGGCACACGGCATTTACCTTTTTAAAGATCTAGTTAATCAGTAACTATCAACAGGGGCCAGTTGGGTCGGCAACCTATGGCACACGTGCCAACACTGGCAGGCATAGGAGTATCGCTGGCACGTGAGCAAAAGTGAGAGCGGTGTAATCATTTCATTCAGATAAAGTCATCTGCATACAGATCTACATTTTGAGGTAATCATTCATTATAGTAACATATTGTTTTATTCAGTTAGGAGTTAGGAATAATACTATTAAAGTGTGAGAATTAAAGTCACGACAGCTCATAAACCACTGCGCATGACAGTTACTGACTGAGCTTACAACCACTAGGCTACACTAGTCAATGCTTTACATTTTGGACATATTCAACGAAGTATATTGAGTCCTTAATAAATATTCCACTCACATCAAAATGACTGAGATGCATGCACTGCTTTCATGCGTAATCTGGCCACTTCACGTGGTTTCTCTGATCGGATATTTAAAATATGGTACATGGGTTTGTGTCAGTTAGGGTTAGCTAACGCTGTGTGTATATATATATATATATGAAGAGTTCAGATGCAAAAGCTTCTAAGTGCCATTTGAAATTTTCTTCTAGAATGGTAATTTTTATCAAGCTTGTATATTTAAGTTCAGTGATTTTCCTTAAATGGCAATGATAATTACCTATTAATTGTTATTTAAGTGAAATTACTGAACTTAAATATACAAGTTTGATAAAAAATCATCATTAAAGAAGAAAATTTCAAATGGCATTTAGAGGCTTTTGCATCTGAACTCTTCATATATATATATATATATATATATACACTCACCGGCCACTTTATTAGTACACCTGTCCAACTGCTCGTTAACACTTAATTTCTAAGCAGCCAATCACATGGCGGCAACTCAGTGCATTTAGGCATGTAGACATGGTCAAGACAATCTCCTGCAGTTCAAACCCGAGCATCAGTATGGGGAAGAAAGGTGATTTGAGTGACTTTGAACGTGGCATGATTGTTGGTGCCAGAAGGGCTGGTCTGAGTATTTCAGAAACTGCTAATCTACTGGGATTTTCACGCACAACCATCTCTAGGGTTTACAGAGAATGGTCCGAAAAAGAAAAAACATCCAGTGAGCGGCAGTTCTGTGGGCGGAAATGCCTTGTTGATGCCAGAGGTCAGAGGAGACAACCAAGGTGGGCAGAAGAGCATCTCTGAACGCACAGTACGTCGAACTTTGAGGCAGATGGGCTACAGTAGCAGAAGACCACACCGGGTGCCACTCCTTTCAGCTAAGAACAGGAAACTGAGGCTACAATTTGCACAAGCTCATCGAAATTGGACAATAGGAGATTGGAAAAACGTTGCCTGGTCTGATGAGTCTCGATTTCTGCTGCGACATTCGGATGGTAGGGTCAGAATTTGGCGTCTTGAAAGCATGGATCCATCCTGCCTTGTATCAACGGTTCAGGCTGGTGGTGGTGGTGTCATGGTGTGGGGAATATTTTCTTGGCACTCTTTGGGCCCCTTGGTACCAATTGAGCATCGTTGCAACGCCACAGCCTACCTGAGTATTGTTGCTGACCATGTCCATCCCTTTATGACCACAATGTACCCAACTTCTGATGGCTACTTTCAGCAGGATAATGCGCCATGTCATAAAGCTGGAATCATCTCAGACTGGTTTCTTGAACATGACAATGAGTTCGCTGTACTCAAATGGCCTCCACAGTCACCAGATCTCAATCCAATAGAGCATCTTTGGGATGTGGTGGAACGGGAGATTCGCATCATGGATGTGCAGCCGACAAATCTGCGGCAACTGTGTGATGCCATCATGTCAATATGGACCAAACTCCCTGAGGAATGCTTCCAGCACCTTGTTGAATCTATGCCACGAAGAATTGAGGCAGTTCTGAAGGCAAAAGGGGGTCCAACCCGTTACTAGCATGGGGTACCTAATAAAGTGGCCGGTTAGTGTATATATATATATAGCCTATATATATATATATATATATATATATAGACACACACAAAGATAAAAAATAGAGGACCACCCTATTTCATCAAGATTCACCCACTTAACGATTTCTTGCCTCACCACTGTTAAAAACCCTGCAATGTTTAAGAAATAGCCAACATATATGCTTATGTTGTAATTTAAGGAAGTACTTCTGTAAAAGTGTATATGCAGGATTTCGAAAATATGCTTTGAAGACACCTGGCAGGCAAGATAAGACACTTGCAAGAAAATGGTGAACTTGCAGAGCTTGTGCAAATATACATCGCTATGATCAGATGCTTTATTAACTGCCTTTATGAGCTGTCATAAAGTGTGCGCTCTCCCTTTCATTGGCGTGATCAGAAACGTTAGGCTTATCGCTCCGGAGACTGTAAGCTGGATCACAAACAGTTGGTACAGATCCATCCTCGAGTAACAACGAAAGTACATGAAGATAGCTGTTCATTCTTACACCCAACAACACCTCAATCACTTAGAAGACATTCTTGTCTACAGCTGCTCTGGTGTGTAAACATTGGCGGACTGCGTACAGCTCACTCAGGGGCGGAGTCTATGCTAAAACTGCAGTGTCAATCAACAGTTGTGGGCGGGGCTTGTGCAAAAGTAGCCTTCGTCACATTGCCCTGAATCTTGCATTAAAGAGCTCTCTAATTGAATTGCAGAGCTCTGCAATTTCATTCTTACTAGTAAAAACTGATTTAGAGAGCTCTCTAATTGAATTCTTACTGGTAAAAATGCAATAATGATGAGTAAGGTGGTTTTTTAATAAAGGACTGGGTGGATTTGTATCATTATAGGGTGGATGTATAGACACACTGCCAACACACATTCATGTTCAAACACCATGTAAAAGTGAATTTTGCATAGGCCTAATAGGTGACCTTTAATGTATCAAACAGGATGGGATGTTTTATATTCACACAAACCAACCAAAAAGCACAAAACATTACAGAACTGATAGCTAATGATATTTGTATTATCAGTAGTATGATATATAAGGCTATGCTGTTCCAAATTCAGCAAATGATACCGCTCACTTAAAACAAGACAGAACAATAATAAACTAATAAAAGAATAAACGGCACTACATAGGAATAAGGAGCCATTTCAGGCATTAAAAACAATTGCCAAATCAAAATATTGCATATTTTGTTTAAAGCATCCATTTGGGGAATAAAGAAGAAACATCTTAATATTTGTTTTATATTTTTTCTTGTTCATGTTTTCATGTTAGTAGTAAGTGTGCATATACCACTGGGGAAATGGCAGGTGAAATTATTTAAAAATAAATAATAAAGATCATATGATAAAAACGACAGTAATTTGTACAGTAATCATCCAGCAGATGGCGCAAATTTGCCCGGCTAGCAAAATAATCTTGCCGAAGAAGAAGAGAAAAACACATGTAAGTGCACTACATGTTTTCATATCAATGCGATCCACACTAGGAAAATCTCCATATATCATTCAGTAGGTGACATCGAAAGATCATTGAAACACATCAGTCACGACATTATGATCATTAGGCGCTTCAGTTGAGAGAGTCAGTGAGTCAACGTTCCTCATCCGATTAACATTAGCATTAAATATACCAACAGGCTGATATGAGCTGGATTAACTGATCATCTGATGTAAGTTATGAAGCTTAAAGAGCTGGAGAGCTGCCTTCAGCAGGTGGATGGATTTGAGGAGCCCAAAATACTCCTGGAGCAGTACCCCACCAGTCCACATATAGCGGGTGAGGATTATGTATTTTTGTTATAGACTCAATGACACTTTTAATTACTGTAAGGTACTTGTGAATGTATGGATGTGGCCTGCAAGTGTCAGGTGAATTATATATATATATTGTTTGTGTGTACATGTTTATTCACCTAGCATGTGTGCTACATTCGCATCTGTATTCCATATCTGAATACCACAATTCAGTATGTTTGTCTTAAAGTCACCATGAAATTTTATGCAATATTCTGGTATTTATTATAAATGATTGTATTAGTCAAGTATTCTCGTCACTTGATAAACTCTGACTATTTTATCAATTACCTAGCAGCCTATGAAGGAATGAGACATCTCTCAGATTTAATTAAAAATATCCTAATTTGTGTTCCGAAGATGAACGAAAGTCTTGAGAGGTTGGAACAACATGATGTAATTACTGACAGAATTAAAATTTTTGGGGTGAACTAACCCTTTAAAGCTAACATATTCATGGGGCCTTTAACATTCTTGCAATTCTGGGGGTTTTTCTCTAAGAATTACAGATTTACAACTCGCAAATCCAATTTTCTCAGAATTGCGAGTTCATAACACAAATCTGACGTTACTTTCTCACAATTTCAAATTGCAATTTCGAGTTAACGTGTCGCAATTTTTGCAGTTCATGACAATTCACACAGTTATAAGACCTAATTCTGACAGAATTGTGTGTTAAAAGCTCAATTTTGCGAGATTTGCTTTTACCTTTACGTTTTTTCCATAAGAAGCCTAGACGTTTTAATCACTCTACTTGTCCGGTGAGCAAGTAAAATTTTCTTTTACTTACCCCTTCAAAAAAATCCACTTGTCCCGGACAATCGTTAATGTTGAGCCCTGCATTCAGTTGTCCTTTGTGCTTTTGTCTGTAGGCTGCATGTTATACACCATACACAACACATTTGATGACATACAGAATAAACTAGTTGCAGACCTGGGCTGTGGATGTGGAGTTCTGTCTATAGGAGCTGCAGTCCTTGATGCTGGGTAAGACCAACTCCATCCTTCTCTACATGGCCTAAAATTATATGAATCAACATAACCATAAGCTTTCCTTTCAAGACTGTGTGTTGGATTTGACATCGACGATGACGCCTTGGATATATTCAAAGGAAATGTTGAGGAATTTGAATTGTCAAACATTGATGTGGTCCAGTGTGACGTGTGCTCAATCGGATCCTCTTACGGCAAGAAGTTTGACACGGTCATTATGAACCCACCATTTGGCACCAAGCACAACCAGGGTAAGAGTCGGCTTATATCCTCTGCCAATGCAATGCTTCACTTCACATTAACTTAGACATGTCTTCAACACTAGGTATTGACATGCAGTTCCTGCAGACAGCGATTTCTATGGCAAGTACTGCAGTGTATTCCCTTCACAAGACCTCAACACGAGATGTAAGTTACCACATTGTGTTAGAATTTAGCAGCTTCTGAACTCTATACATGAGAAAACATAATTTATAATTGATTTGCAATTTTGTGCAGCACATCCAGAAGAAAGCAAATGACTGGAAAGTGAAAATGGAAGTTATTGCAGGTACACCTATAAGCATACTACACACTATTGGTTCAGAAAGACTTTATTTAAAAGAAATTAATACTTGCATTCATCAAGGATGCATTAAATGAATAAAAAGACAGTAAAGACTTTTACATATTTACAAAAGTTGTTTTATTTCAAATAAATGCTTCTTTTGAACTTTCAAGCTAAAAAATATAGCATGTTTTCCACACATATTAACTGTTCTCAACATTGTTGATAAAAATACACGTTTCTTGAGCAGCAATTTAGAATGATTTCTAAAGGATCATGTGACAATGAAATACTAATGCTGAAAATTCAGCTTTGCATAACAGGAATAAATAAAAATGTAAAATATATTCAAATAGAAAAGTTTTTAAAACTTTTTTTAAATTATTATTTTTTAAATTGTTACAATATTACTGTTATTTTACTGTATTTTGATCAAGTAACTGCAGGCATGCAAGAGATTCTTTCAAAAACATTTAAAAAAATCTTAGCAACTCCAAACTTTTGATCGGTAGTGTATGTTATATTGATTTGTTTTATAACCCCAAGAGCATGCAGGAGTTTATGCAATATCTGTAGGTTGTAATAAGCTATAAAGTTTGTCATAATATGTTTTTGAACTGTTGTTGTATACAGAGCTCAGATATGACCTGCCGGCATCTTATAAGTTCCACAAAAAGAAGTCGGTAAGTCCGTGTTTTGAGTTGAGATCAGTTTCATTTGCACATTTTACACTGCCACAAAAAAATAATTATTGCACTGACAAACACACTTTTTCAGACTTTACCATGATAAACTGCTTATATAATCTTTTTTTATCTGATTATTGTAGGTTGATATTCAAGTGGACTTCATTCGGTTCACTCCAACATAAACTTTTTGGGGAAAAAGCAGTTTGTGTTGCTTTGCAACATTTTAGTAGGGTTTTTCATTGTTGTACAAAATAAATTTTATACATTTACATACTGTATCATTTTTGGGTGGGTATCACAGAAATGCCAGCATTACTGTAGGATTAACAAACACTATTGTTGAAACTTTTACATTTGTGCTTTTCACATTTTTGGCAGCATTCACAGTTGAGCATCATCATCATCACACTGACTAAAAACAATAAAATACACATCACACACATTTTCTTTAGAAAAATCCTGGATTCACAATTGTATTACAAATTCAAAATCATGATAAGATACTGATTAATAAATAAATACATTTAAATCATGTTTGAAATACCAGTACAGTTTTTTTAAGTTGCATAATATTATAAGTCACTGTCCAAAAAGGGAAGTGCTGTAATTTATTGTCAGTATACATTTAGAAACAGCCCTTTATCATCCAGAACAGATAACAGACAAACCATTTCTCATGTTGACTTCACATTTTGAACAAATATAAATATAATATATTGACATCATTTACAAGTCTGAGATTTTCAAAATAACAATTCAAGTTATGAATCGAAACTGAAAATTTACACGAGTTTCAGTTCATTTAATTGGTTTTCTCTCAGACATGAACAAAACCTACTGTAGTTATCATGATCTCCCGTATGATTTGAGACTATCCAAAGAGTGCATCTGACCGTCTGTACAAAACGTCAAATGTCAATGCATCAAGTTTGCAGGGTTCCTGCACAGTATGGGATATAATTTGTCATTTTCATGTCTGCATAAATTATGGAAAAATATTAATACTATTGCCCCTATTTTGTTGTCTAAAATATACAAATAATAAAAAAAAAATAAAAAAAAGAAAGAAATTGTCATACAAGCAGAGCAGGCATTCAGAGCGGGAAGAGAGCGGAGCCAAAAGTATAGTAAACATGATGTGAGAGTGGATTTGCAATGCACGAGGATTTAAGGCCCATTCACACCAAGAATGCTAACTATAATAATAAATATAATTAAAATTAAAAAATTATGTAATTTTTTAACAATTAATTGTAATTAAAATTAATTAAATAAGCTGTAATTAAAATTAAAAATGATTTTAACCCCATTGCAAATCAGGTTTATTGGCAAAATTTACTGTAACCGCTGTTTGCAATGAACAAATCAAACAATAGTAATTAAAAATAGCTCAACACAACCAATGTTTTAAGTTTTTTACCAAAATTCACCTGAAAATGCAACTTTTAGTGAGTTCTGCCATCTCAAAATTATTCAACCCCCTGAATAGTATCCCTCACAACTGAACAAATCTGCAAAAAGGTGTTGTCTCAAGCACACCTGATGCTACTTATCAAGGGCTTCATTAGTTGCACCAGGTGTGCTTTAGCTAGAACACATTAAATATCTGAACTGGTTAGGTTGGTTGAGTGTCACGTTTAACTGCATGTTAGAAATATGACTTAAAAATATGTAAAAAGAATGGACCAAAAAGTTAAGAGATCATCACCCTTCATAAATAAGGAACCGGATACACAAAGATAGCGAAGGCACTAAATGTTCCTAGAGACGCAGTTGAAAGCACTTACACTACCTGGACGGGGCAGAAAAGGAAGCTGTCAATGGCTGCAACCAGATTCCTGAGAAGGCAGGTTCAGAAAAACCCTCGAGTGACTGCAAAAGACCTTGGCAAGACTTGGTGCCCACTATTCATATACATGTGGTCTGGTCTCAGACTTTTAGACCCCACTGGATGTGATGGGGGTAGTGATTTCACATGCTGAACACACAAACGCAGCCGTGTGAGCGTGCGGCCGATGGGAGGTTCCCCACGATCTCCCAGGAGTCGATCTCAGGGTCGTACCTCTCTATACTCTGCAGATACGTCCCCTTAGAGTACGAATACCCTCCTGCTACATAGATGCACCCATTTATAATGGCCGATCCACACTCCATCCTTCTCTCCTTCATCGCACACATCTGTCTCCATTCATCTTGCTCGGGGTCGTAGCAATCTGTGATGGTGGTCTGACCGCCGACCAGATAAAGCTTATTGTTTAAGGAGACTGAGCAAAGGCCGTACTCTGAAATTAAAGAGTTTTGATGAGTTTTCAAATGAGGGATGGTGAAGAAGGTTAAATATGGGCAGGTACATCATTATGAGAGAAAACAGATGGACTCATTTCTGTTTGGATGTGTGGTGGAGAATACATTTTGGCTCATCTGATGGGAAACGTAAGTGGCTCACCAGGATGTGGACATATTGTTGTGACGCTCCACTCGTTAATATCTGGCCGGTAAGTCTGAATCTTCTCGTAAGTGCAGGTTCCTCTGTACCCATAATGCCCTCCAGTTACATAGATTCTTTCATTCACCACGCAAGAGGTTGCATTTCCCACACCTTTAAAGTAAAAACAAACAAAATCATTTTTAAAAGGCATTTTAAGTCTTTGGTACTACAAGACAAAACATTTTCCACCTTAACTGTCACATGCCCGTATATGGGCAACCTAAATTTACTTCACTATTTTACTTTTAAATCCTAATCTAGTCGTTGACAAACTATATATCGTTGGAAAGGTCTAAGACTGCTAAATAGATATCTGACTGCTGTTTTTTGCAAAAAAAATATGTAAGAAGTGTAACCGATGATTTTTTGACGAGTGTGCCTCAAAAAAATCTGCACCTGTAACAAAGTTCTGACCTCCGTAACAAAAAGTTGACACACACACCTTTAATAATTGAAACTTTGGGGTTTCATGCTAAAAGTTCATAATAAAATCTACTATTTCAATAAAAAATTCTAATATTATCCTCTAAAAATGATAATATATATATATATAATACTCTAAAATATAATATTATATTTGTATCGCCTTTTTTATTATATCACATATTTTAGTAGTTATCATAAATTAGGCATCATTTGAAAGCTTACAAACTCAGAATTCATCTTGTGAAAAACGTTTTATAATTGAACATTGTGTTACCATGGAAACGGTACTCTATTTTATGATGGCTCCTCCCATTTTGGTCATCATTATATATAATAATTTAATTTATGATCAAAACCTTTTCTAATCTTGATAAAACACATATTGTCAGAAAAGTATGTGTCTCAAGGTTCCAAATGTTGTGACGGAATTGATATTTGAACAGAAATTTATTAATTTATTAAGGCAGAATGTATACAACTAAATTCCATGGAATTCAATGGCACCCGGTGGCTATTTTTGGTACTACGCCTAAACAAAATCTCGTGGGAACTTCAATTTTTGTGATATCAACTTCAAATTTGGAACAGAACTTGGTTAGATTTATGGCTTTGAGTTTATAGTAAAAAATTTTTGTAAAATATATTTTATATAAAATAAAAAAATATATAGTACAATATTTTTGATTTACTGTGAATTTTAACTTCCATAACTGTTTCATACTTTCATTTTTTGAAGAGTTTTCACTTCAGCAATAATCCGCTGAGTGTTTTCTTTAAAACAAACTTGGGTATATATTCCAAAGCATTCTTGAATTACAACCATTTAAGTTTGAATAGTGCATTTTAACCCCTATTCTCAAAAAGGGAATGACAGCTATGAGGTTAAAGTGTTTTTAACTGTCTTTTATTAGCTGAAATCGTAGTGAAAGACTGATGTTTGATGTCAAAATAACCTTATTAAATTAATACACTACACAGTTGAGTATATAGTATTGGGTATATGGTGAGACATTTGGGACAAGTTGAATCTCATACCTTGTATCATATCAGCCACGGGGGACCATGTCTTCTTCAAGGGGTCATAGAATTCAGTTTCTCGTGTAGGAGCCCCTGCCGTATATCCGCCTATGACATATATGCCCCCCCGTAAAGCCACGGAGCAGTGGTAATATCTGGCTGTGATCATCGGACATCCTTCTGTCCATTCATCTGAGTCTGTGTTATAAATCCACACGCTGTCTAAAGCATCTACAGTCTCTGTCCTGTATCCTCCGGTCACGTAGATATCAGGGCCTTGAAGTACCACACTATAACTCTCTCTTGCAAAGTCAGGCATGTCTTTGCCCTGAACCCACGTGTTGGAAGCAGGGTCCCACATGTGGACTTCACACAACGGATGCCAGTAATATCCACCAATGACATACAAGCTGCATGTTAGTTTTTTGCAGCAGTTCGAGAAACCTTTGCTTGGCTGCAAGGAGGTGAGAATTAGAGATTGCAATTTGCTTTCAAAGCATTGTTTGCCTAGATCCAAAGCAGTTTTGAGGTACACGTCATTCACGTCGAGACGGATGCAGTTAAGAAGCTCTTTCAGGTGGTCTATTCTTGTAGCCACGTCATGGGTGACCCATTTCACCACAGCATCCAATAACGTCGCCTCTTTCCACACATTAAGGTTTTCAGTTGCTAAAATCACCACGATCTTTTGGAAATCCACCTCTAGGAACTCCTCCTGAAGTGTGAGTTCCTCAAAGCGGCTCAGTATGATCCTCAAAGCCGCGCGCTCCAGTGAAGGGCACACGTGAAGCTCGGCGAACGAGTGCATCCCGAGACAGTTGTCGACGTCAAGCAGACGAATCAAGAAGTTCTCGCAGGCTTTCTTGAGCGAGCTGAGCTGCAACAGGTCTGCGGCCTCCAGAAGACTTTGAACGTTGCCCTGAGTAATGCTGATCTTTGAAGTGTAGACGTAAGTCAACAAAGCACCCAGAATCTCCCCGTCTATGCAAGGTAGGTTGATGGTGTCATTCAGACGTTCTCTCATGTCTAAGGTGAACATTACCTTGAAATAGGAGCTGCGGGCTGATAGGACAGCCTTGTGGCAGTGGAAAAGCTGTCCGGATGAAGACTGCAGGGTGATGTCCGTGAACAGGCCGCTGCTGTGGAACTCGTGAAGAGCTTCCAGCACTTCTGATGAATGTGAAGCGTCGCAGAACTCATACGAGTAGCCGCTTTCAACTTTTCTTGACATTGCAACTGGAAAGAGATGATTTTCAACACTGTAAACCATAATGCTCAAAATAATGAATTGGTTTGAGTAGGTTAAACTTAAATTAAACAAATTCGTTTAAACTTTTATGAGTATTTAGAACTTTTTTCTTTTGAGTTCACAAAGCTGACACATTTTTAATCATCTGAATTGTTTTGAGTTTTTTAACTTGTTTCTTTAAAATTTAGACAAACTTAAATTTAACTAAAACTGGACTGGGATTTCTATTTTCCAGCATGCTTTAATGGCACTCGAAAGGGAGAGCAAATGCTAAAATTAAGTGTTATATAATTTTTTTGTGTGTGTGCAAGATTTAGTAATGTTAAGCTAAAATATGAAACATATAAATATGTATGTAAATATGTTAAAAGTAAAATTGTAATAAATAAGGACAGACATTGGTGAAGTTATGTTGGGGCTAGTTGTCACATTTATTCCAGTAAATATTTATCTTTTTTTTTTTTTCTGAAGGTTAGTTTCTGTATGAACCTTAAAGTCTTTATTATCAAAACGTGGTTGTTTATTGTCACACATGTTGACCTAGTGTTCCTTGTCACACCATGGGGTAAATTGTCAGATCTGGCATTAAACATTATTGGCTTTTTTGGCACAATGCAAACAGTAAACGAAAAAACAATCATGAAAAAGCTAAATGTTGTAACATATAAAATATCAAATTGGTAAAGTATAAAAACCCTGTGAACCTTTGAACTAGATTTTTGCAAGCAACCTATATATCACTGCTGTGCTAATGAAAACAAGCCATCATGCAATTTAACTCCTTGTCACAACCTGAGCTTGTGACAACTAGCCCCTATGTAAAAAAAAACAGGCTTACCTGACCCGTAATGACTGATTTTGACTGTCACAGCTCGTCCTTTCTTCGCTGGAGAAGTTTTATCCCCAACAGTGCAACTTGTGCTCGGATAGATCAGACATGTGGCCCCTGTATTTAGCCTCAGCCACTAGAGAATGTCGAGCTCCTATTTTGGTATCTGTGTAATAGCTGGAGACTCTCTGCTGTCACCCGCCACTACTGATTCAACACAGCCGTCCTTCGGCCATGTGACGACACCAGTGTGTTCACAAGCATCCCATCTTTACAAAGACATGTTCAAAGTGCCACCATTTGATCGATTTTTTAATCAACAGAGATACAATACTAGCTTTCACGTTTCAGTTGTCATGGCAGTGCTGAGTGTATAATCCTATAAGGATTAAAGCCGTTGCATAATAACGTTTGGGAAACTAGTACCAAGGGCGGCCGAATACCAAGAATTAATCCATTCCGAGCGCTTCACCGATTTCTTAACTCAAAAAGGTTTTGTTTATAGCTTAGCGACGGTGAGTTATTGGTGTCTGTAGCTACCATTAAGTCCACAGGGTACATTAAGGACAGAAATAACTCAGTTACCATGGAAACAGAGTTGAGGGTCAAGTCGATGAAGCGAGCGCCTGCTTGATAGAGGCGATTTATAAGTAAAGTTCTCAGAGGTTTTAGTTAGATATTCCTTCATGTTATTATTAAGTCCTAATGATTGAATCATTTTAATTTAATGCATTCTGCAATCTCAATATATATTCAAATTAAATTAACATGTATAATAATTATTAATAATTGAAATGTGGATTGAATCTCAAGATATAAACACATTAGGGATAGTTCACACAAAAAAGAAAATTCTGTCAACGTTTACTCACCCTCAAGTTGATCTAAACCTGTATGAGTTTGTTCTGTTGAACACACACGAACACTCAAAAATACATTTTGAAGAATGTTGGTAACCAAAACCATTTTTTCATACTATGGAAGTCAATAGGGACCAGAAACTGTTTGAATATCTTGTGTATTTTGCAGAAAAAAGAAACTCGTACAGGTTTAGAAAAACTTGAGGGAGAGTAAATGCCAGCTTTTTTCCATTTTGGGGTGAACTATCCCAACTATTTGGGGTGAACTATTGATCTCAACTTGAGATCAATTTGTTTCTATGTTCATCCCATAATTACCAAAATAAAACATTGGTTAATATATCTGAGAGAAACAGAGGTTGTGACAGTCCCAAAAACTCCATCCTGATGATGAACGAAACAGGAAAAAGGGGAAAATAAGTGCAGGGTTTCGTAAATATCTATTTTTGTAGTATAAACTGGCATCAAAAAAATTACTCAATGTAATTTTTACGCTTTAGAGACAAAAATGGCAACCCTTTAGTATGAAAAAGCAGACAATCCACTGCAAAGCACTGATGGTTATTGTTTTAATCAAACATTCACATATCTGCAATAGAAATAGGTTTAGTGAACTAACAACAACAACAACAACAAAAGTGAAAATCTGACTTTTTTACACGTTTGCTTCAGGAAATGTAGTGTTATCGGCAATGTGAGTAAGGCTGGAATGTTAAGTGGTTCAGTGACAGATATTTAAACAGTGAGTTGTGCAGCCTCTTTCACTAAGGACTTCAAGGCACCAATGTCCCCCAGCAGTGAAGAAATCCCCATGCAGTACCACTGGACACCATTGCTGGCAGTAGAGGCACTGAAGGACTCCAGCTCCACACCTGCAGCAGCCAAAACCCCTGAGGAAGATAAAGCATTAATAAACTCAAGGTCCCGATACACGAAGTCCTTTTTCGTTCTTCTCTGAAATACGCAAGCCCAGGGCCGGCCCGAGGCATAAGCGAACTAAGCGGCTGCTTGGGGCCCCAATCGAGTGGAAAAATATTTTTTTAGATGACTTAAACAAGTGACATAAATTAATGAATTAATATGAATGAATCAATAATTAAAGACAAGAAAATTCTGATTTCATGATCAATATACCTCCCTACAACTGCTGCTGTGTCTGCCAGCATTTATGTCATGCGCATAATCTAGACACCCCGCACATGCATAGACAATTTGTGCGCAACTCTGCATAGTGGCGGACTCGTGGTAATGTCACACATCACAAAAAAGGAGAAGTCCGATGCCTGAGTCTGGTGCCGAAAATAGAACGAAGAAAATGACAGTGATGTCTGAAGGCGTGATGTCTACTTTTAAACAGAACATTTAAAAATGAAAAACAGACTGATCTCTGCTAATTTCTCTCTGGCGCGTTCTGTGAAGATCGCGAGTCAGCAACATCAACTTCATATCTTGAAGCCGACACACTGACACAGAAAAACCTTGTTTATTAATAAACAATTAAAATGTCTCCTTGCTATATTTAACATATTCATAATCATTGCCTCTGCCGGTTCTTTGTGGCAGCTTTTAGATACTTTGGAGCGCCACCCTTGTTACATGAAGGCCCAAATTTTTTTTTTATCTATGATACAAACCGAATTGTAGGTTTGGTCTATTGTTACAGCTTTAGTAGTTGTAAAAAAAAAAAAAAACAAAAAAAAAAACTATCATCTTTGCCAAGCACAAACCAGTACAGAGGTAATCAATAAATAATAATAATTATCGGGGAGGGTAATGCTTTTTTTCACAGTTGTTTTGGAGGTTCATAGAAAAATTAACTACTGGCGAAGGGAGGGTCAAGTCTTTTTTGAAAAAGACTTTCCCAGACATGAAAATATCCTAATGTGTCATTATTAGTTGTCAATTGAAATAATCAATAAAATAAAAATAAAATTGTGTTTTATGGGATAATGATACTATATCTTTACTGCCACTATTGTAAAATTAATCTTGTATATCTTTACGGTGGGATTAAATGGGTTAATCAACAGTTTAAACATTCCCCAAAGTCATGTTTTATGTTTAATTTTATGGTTTTAAAATTTAAATGGGCTTTAAATCATTCGACCTCTATCGATATCACTGCTACAGCTGCTCTGGCGCACTCCTGATTTGCCTTCCACAATGGCGGAGATTAGATTGTGTGACGTCAGCTTCCGGAGCTCTATACTGTATGTGCAGAACTTGAATCAGCCTTTACCGGTTATGGAAAGCAGGAGGTCAGTGGAGGTGGCGGCCTTGAAGAAAAGCAAGTGTCCACCGAGACGAATAGGCTGTCGAAACACACTTCCATTCAGCTCCAACAGCACAGGAACCCCAGCCTGCACCGAGCCAACCGCCTTATAGCTGCTGCCGTTCACAGAGACCTCCACCACACACGCCTCACGCTCATTCGAGTCGTTATGATCCGTCTTCATCTGGGGGTTTGTGACACAGGGACAGATTTAACGTAACACGTGCTTTAACCTAAAAAACATAGTTCAAAACCATGGTTTTGTAAAGTTGTCTTACGGTGATTCCCGTCTCTGCAGCTAGAGGCAGTGCATTCACCAAGTTGGGGCCTTTCTGAGGGCCTTCAGTGAGCAAACCAACTACAGCTGCGGAGCTCAAAAACCCAGTGGACTTCTTCAAGGACTCCCCTGAACAGCAAAAAATACACAACACACATATTTTGTATATTTTTACATTTTATATGTATATATACTATATGTAAATTGGATACAAATGTATGATATTGCCACAAGATGGCATCCTTGCACTGTTGATGATCAAATTGAATGCTAAAAGATATGTCATTATTTAATTATTATTTAATTATTTATAATAAATAAGATGAGACATATTATTTAATAATATATTAATTATTAATCAATTATTATTAAAATTATTTAATTTTTAAAGTGACACCAGATTCTTTGGTTATTTTCATTGCGAAAACCATACATTATTAAAATTAAACCCGGTGATGCATGACTTTTTACATTACAAATGAATATATAAAAAAATAAATCATTAATATTTTTGTATTATTGCTATACTATTTTTGTTTTATTATTATTATTATGAATTAGCTTGTTATATTTTTGTGTAAGTTTTAGTTAATTTTGCTACTTTTGTTTTATGTTATTTTCATACATTTTTGTTTAAGAAATATTTCTACTTAGATTTCAAATTAGACTTATTCTATTTCACTTGGTTTATTTGGCAACATTTCTAAATTAAATTGTATTGTATCTTATATTTTATGTAATTTCATCTTTGGTTTAATTAACAACAACTATTTTGAATGGTTTTTATTTTAGTTAACAATAACAGCACTGATCTTCAGTGTTGGGGGGTAACTTTAAAGCAAGAACATGATGTTGTATCTAATACTATGGAATTAATAATTCCAAATTATTCACTCAGAGAAGAGTTCAGATGCAAAAGCCTCTAAGTGCCATTTGAAATTTTCTTCTAGAATGATAATTTTTATCAAGCTTGTATATTTAAGTTCAGTGATTTCACTTAAATGGCAATGATAATTACCTATTAATTGTTATTTAAGTGAAATTACTGAACTTAAATATACAAGATTGATAAAAATTAAAGAAGAAAATTTCAAATGGCATTTAGAGGTTTTTGCATCTGAACTCTTCAGTTACACATTTGTAGTGGTCAAGAACTTTTATAACTACTGTAAATGTGCCATAATTTGATTAAGAAAAAGAAACACTGAATACAAATTTGTTCTCAGAAGAGTAGAAATATCTACACTAAAAGTCCATAAAATAACCTGACAGACAGCAAACTCTCATGGGAGGGACAGTAAATATGTGTGTAAATCTTGTGTGTCCAATCCAGCATCATGTGAAAATGAAATCATTATTAAAAGAATTTAACAGTATTTCTTGCTATTTGTTTAAGAGCTCATTCAGTTAGTGAGTGAGTTAATAACAAAAGTTGACAAGATATTTGGCAGAATTAATAATTGACCTACCAAGTGATGTGACATGGACGTGACTGTAGGGTTTTTTAGAAGTGCTGCAGGCCTTCAACACTCTGCCCATGGACTCTCCCAGCCGAATCCACTGATGAGAGTCAGGAGAGAAACTACTGACCAACACCTGAGCATTGACCTGAGGACAATAAAACAAGAGATTAAAGTCTAGATGTAACAGACGTAGTGCAGATCTGTTCTACTGTATAGAGATATACATCCAAGTGAAAATAAATAATCGGAAACACAAAAGAATGAAGGGCGGGGACTATTTCTGTCCGTCGGTTGTTGATTGGATGGAGGCAGATCTGAATGAAGTTGAAATTTATTAAAATCAGTTCCAGAGGGCAAATATTGCCCCATCTATCATAAAGTTCGCTATCATGAACGTAACTCACAGCTCCTACTAATGCTTTGCCAGTAACCATGTCCACAATCTGCAGGGCGATATCCTTCCCGCACCGAGCCTGTGCTTCTTTAGTGCTGGCTCCCAGATGAGGACAGCTGATTACATTCGGGTGGTTCACCAACGCCCGGTTCTTTGGAGGCTCCTGAACCCCCAAAATAACAGCAAACTCATTAGTAATATTTCAAAAATGTATGCAGCTAAATGCTAAAAGTGTTCTCAGTCTGGGTGATAGACAAGCTCTG